CATGCTACTAATCGTGCGAGCTCGACTTGCTAGCTTTACGTCGGTTTTATTCGGTCACTCTGTCATACTGTTTCCGAGAGTTTCTTCCGTTTGCACCGTTCGTCAAACTACACGCGTATAACGCGTAGTTATATATAGCTTCGTTATATATTTGAGCAACTTCTAATGAGGGCGACAACTTTTACTAAATCGCTATTTGGCTCTGTAGATCCATCATGACAAATGTGATATATGAATGGACACACAAATCTTTCAATGCTTGCACTTACGATTCAATACGTATTTTTAACGCGCTACAGATTTGTATCTGATAACGACAAGAAAGTCTTAAAATTCTAAAACAAATGTATTATTATAATCGGACTTAAATTTCTGAAATTGTAATTTACATTTTAGCCATCAAAAAGATTTTTTAAATTCTTTAATATCAAAAGAGAATAATATTTTATAAAGTTTGCATATTAAACTTTTAAACTATATTTCTCTGTAAACTAAATTTTACTTAATTTCAGTGATATTTTTTCCTAAACTTAGTTCGAACAGTTTCTTCTATAATATACGACATTATTACTCTTCGTGTCATTAGATATCCCATCAATTCTCGCTAATGAGAAAATCCTTTTAACTTTAAGAGCTCTGTAAAAACTATTTTTAAAAGAGACGACGGTGAATCCAGCGTACTCTTAGATCATACATCTCAATTTTATGCATAACAAAAAGTATTATATTTGGCACTGAGAAACACCGCAAGCAAAAGCGGAGTACTGATCGATCCAGGGCTGAGGGCGATGCTTCGGTTTTTCCGGCGTAGAAAATCTCGCGGTTTCAAACGCCGACCGGTTTTCACCTTCTGACCGTGAGGCACGTAATATTACGTCACGTATACTTGTGGCATCCCGCGGCTCGAGAGAGATTCTATCGCCCTTTCTCGATGTCGACGATACACGCGTATTTTGCAACTCACTTTGAACGTACACACAACTCCCTCGATCAACAATGTTCGCCATTTATTTCTTGCTCACGTATATCAGGGAAAACCCGGTTAGGAGTAAAGAAAATGAAGCTCGAGGTATGTACTCTCATATATATAGACTCGATTTATCTAATTATCATCATGCAGCACTCAGCGGGAAGCGTTGCCTTAAGGCGACGAAGTATGTCAGTAGACATATCAATCCTTGTACTGATGAACAAGATAAATTCTTTGCGATTTTGCAAACTGAGCGTTTGACCTAAATGTCGCGCTCCCTAAAAATAAACACAACCTATATATCAAACGTAACAGGAATGCTAATATTATTAATCAAAGATCTTTGTTATACCCGGAAAGAGAGAACGGTTTGAAATATTTATATTTCAAACTCTCTCTCTCTCTCTCTCTCTCTCTCTCTCTCTCTCTCTAGACCATCAAAATAATTATGTACATATATAAAAATAATGTAGAATAATTAAGTAGAAAATTTTCACTTACGTGCGTTTAATCTCGTCGATTTTCACTTAACATTTTCACTTAATATTAATTATGTAGAAACTCGAGGTGATTACTAGAATGTCAAAATTTTTTTGTAAAATTAATTGCTTATCACGCTTGAGTTTCTTATAATTATTTTCCTATAATTCCTATAATTATTTTGATGGTTCAATAAAATATTATTTTCACAGATCTGACTAACTTTTTAAATATTTAAGCAAAATCGATCTTTTCATGTACAGAAAGACTTATATTTTACTAGCATACTTTACAATCTTTTCTATATCGAGAGTCTTCAATTTTATGTTCTACTAAATGTTATATCGCGTAATATCGGATAATACGTTCACCTTATAGTTTACGGGAATTTAGCGTGTACGAGGTGCAGTATCTATACTTATATAAAAGAAGGTACCTTAATCATCCTATCATAACTCATGCTAAAACTGTTAAGGATTATAATACGGTCTAACTTTCACTAGAGCGCAGATCAGGTTCGATAGGTTGGCGATTCCGCATTTCTGGAGGCCAGCAATCCGCTTTTACGATTACCGCACACGTGATCATCGTCGAGATAGTTGTGAACTTTAGATATTAAGCAGTCATCGACATCGAGATACCGTGAGCGATCGAAATCACTCTGTTAAGTTTGCGAGCGACGAATTCCACAGGGAACGTACCAATTGCCTTAAAGGTAACGCGCGCACAACTATACGCACCTGCGTCTCTCAAACTTCGAAACATGATTACACAAACGCTGCATACTAATATCTTAGCAATGAAGTAATAAAGGATTATGCGTGTGTGTGTGTGTGTGTGTGTGTACGTGTCTATGCGCAAAGCTTCTTCACGCGACTCCTCTTCACGACAGGATGATAGCTCTCATTACTTACTCTCTCGAATGCACTCAACCTTGATTCTCGATATCATCAATGACCAGAACTGTCCGTCCAAATTACTCATATCAATCATCGCGCGGTTCGATGAGCTAACTGATGAGCGCGAAGAGGTCAGGCACGTCCGCGCGGACATCGGCACGGTGAAAGGCCAGGAAGGCCTTCGCCTTCCACAGAGTATCTCGATATTGCTTTTTGTGCAGCGATCGAGAGTAAAACGCTGGTAATAGTCACGCATGCGAGACGTTAACTCGCTGGCACGAAGAATGATCGTCACTGAGCGACGATCCATTATCGCCCCGTGCATTGTTTCCCGAAGCGCGATTAACCCAATGCGTTTCTGTAAAACTAAAAAGTAAAAAAAAAATACAAAAAACAAAAAGGAAGATAGAGGCAAAGTACCTCTGGCTTTTGCGTAACATCTTCTCGATGTTGAATTAATATTGATGTTGTATTAATATTGATGTCAAATTTATCAGAGTATTAATCTTGCGACTTGATTTATTAGCTAATTAGCAATGACTATCTCGGGTACGGTTGCAGTTATTATCATTATCATTTTATAAATAATCTCAGATCTCCATGCTATTATAAACGTTATCTTTCCATCTTTACACATGTATTGTCTTCATCGCTACTTTGATTTTAACTTAGTAAACGGTGTTATTAATTTTCCGACACGCACAATGTTTTTTTTTCTTATCTACAATCTTACACTTTGACCATGAGTCCTATCTGATGTTGCTTTACGATTTGACACACGACGTCATTGAGAACACGTTTTCCTGACGAAACCGTGGCGATCGGTGGACGATCAGTTATTGCGCTAAGAAGGATTATCAGGAACAGCAATTTATTTATGTGGTCTTTGATAATAACAGTATGGTGTCCTGGCGAGTGCACGCTGCCAAGAGATTGCCCGGAGATAAAAAATGGCTCGGAGATGTTTATCTCCTCGCATGGAACTTGCACAATTTCGCGTACCACACCGTGGCAACCGCGGTGTGTCTACGTACGCATTGGCCAACTCCCTCGAGCAAGGCTTTCCTTTCCTGTTACAACCAATTTCGCTTTTACGATTAGGTGTCTAAAACTGGAGTCAATAAATGAAAGATCTTACCCCTTTAGAGCACAACTTCTCCTATTCACTCCTTTTCGAGCAACGTTTTAGATCGGAAATGAAAAAATAGAATTACATATGAAAATAACAATTCCGCTAAAGCGTCTAAAAATTCAATTAAATACAAATCTGAAAATAATTTTATTGGGCCATCAAAACAATCATGTGAAACACAAGCATACACGGAGAAAAATATGATTTCGCTGTAAACGCAAAAGGATTGCAAAATTTAATTATTAAATTTGTTTACTGTTTATACCAAACTAATTTGTACATTTGATAAATATTTTGCATATTTTTGTTGCAAATAATAAGCGAGTGTATATAAGAATAAATATTTCTTATACTTGCAAATAATTTGCGATTCCTATGTTTGCAAATGGAATTTGCCGTTATAACATAAGATTAGCATTCGTACCAAATTTTTTCTCTCCGTGCAACGAGCATGCTGCAAAAAGTGTAGACATTCTAGCTTGAACGTCCTACATAATTATTTTGATGATGTAACAAAATTATTTTTAAATCTGTAGATTATTAGAGATTTTCGGATTTTTCAGCCTACATTTCCCGTATATAATTCATATTTCATATATATCCTGCTTTGACTAGATTGCTCAACTATTTCACATAATCATAAAATCAAAGAATATTAGATATTAAATAGAAATATTAAATATGTAGATTAAAAATACTTATGTAAACGCGCGGAGACTCTCAAGCGCGTAAAGGTACCGATCAAAATTCGGTTCACATAAAAGGAAAGTCTCTGACTCCAGATTACAAGATCTGACCCGACAGTTCCATTTTCGAAACACCTCGTATAAGTGTGATTTGCTCACTTGGCGAGAGCAGAGAATGGGCCGGATGGGTTAATATCAAGAAAGAGTCACCGACATGCGTGTCCGGACTGAAGAAACGTTTTTAGGCTGGAGAGCGTCTGTCCCGGGCGTTTCCGGTCCAGCAAGCACGATTCGCCGCGCGATAATTACTACCGCTCCGAGCATACGAACGGGTGATTCCGCAATCAGCAGCGTACCGTCGTCGTCGTGCCCGGAGGCTACGTTCTCCTTCGAACGGGCGAATATTCTGTGGACGTCGCGCGATTATCTCGGCCGATGAATCATCGCCGCGGTTTCCCGCCAACGAGGTCGCCGCGTTTCCACACACCATCCCCCTTCGTCCGAGCGGGTGTCGCGAATGTCGTGAATCCCGCGTTGACGAGAAGCCTCTCGCGATCTCGTGGCACGATTGGACGGCCAGGTGTCAAGATTAGCAACCTGGTGTCTCGTTATCGCTCAACGCAAGAGAGGGTGGGGAGGCAGTCGTCTGGAACGGCGACGGGAATTTTTCGTAGTCGGTGACGGTGGTGGGCACGAAAGTCGGGTTTCGTGATCCAGAAGAAGAACATGCGGGGGGGAAGGGAAGACGGAAGGGCGGGGGCCACGAGCCGCGAAGAAAGGCAGGAGCTATAAAAGAGCTGGCGGGCCCCATGATGGGCATCAAACACCTCCAACATGAAGGTACGTAGAAGTGGGTCCTAGCGCGTATACGCATGTACTCTCCTATAAACATTAATATACGTATGCATACCGAACGATCGAAGCACTCGTACAGATCAATTTCTCGCGATTACTAAAACTCTCACGCCCGATCGTTCTCTTGTTGCAGGTGTTCGTTGTCACACTCGTGCTGGCGCTCGTCGCCACCGCATACGGTGAGTACAATGGGGGCTTATGAAAACGGCGGCCGGGGATTATGGCGGGGGTGTTCCGCGTGTGAAGTGTTCGGGGCGTTTTTAACCCTCTCAGTACGCCAGAATCCGTGAAAAGTGGTTGCAACTAACTGTAAACGTGCCAATTCACTGTGTCGTACAAATGTGACAATATATATTTTATTCTCTATCTTATTTCTAAAATAAAAAAACTCATTCCAAATCTATTTCAACATGGCATCGTAAATTAAACATTATACTAATGATTGCTATCATCTTGCTTGAAATCGATTGTCTATCAAAATTATATTTTATAGTGTGTTTACTAAAAAAAGAAAGTCATCAATTTGAAAGTCGTTGACTTTCATTTTTTACAATAGTTACTCGATATGTAGTAGGAAAGTGGTAATTGTAAAATAAAATTCGAAAAGAGAAAGTCAGCAAATTAAAGATTTCAAGAAATTGTCGGATACAGTCTTGTTCCCGTAAAATAACACATCCACGCCTTTTATAATAATAACCGAAAGTTATTATATAATTATTCTTTTAAACGTTGTCCTAAATTGGAAGAAAAGTCATTATTGCCGCTACCATGGCAAGAATTATCACTTGAAATAATAAGTTACGCTGCTGTTTCATTATTTGCACTAACAAGCGAGACGAACAGACGCACACACATTTCATAATATTTTTTTTTCGACTTTTTATACGATTACTGGTTAGTTCAGCGATATTAAACGAACTCATAAGATTTAATCCGAGAGCGATTTGTTCTTGCCTCCTGCCCTTTGAGGCGACTTACACAATCGGCAGAACGCAACCAGTCTCCTTCTTGTAGCAATCACAAAATACCTCGTGGCAATTTGCGGACCGTACCAAGCTCCTAGTCGTGCAAAGAAAGTCGATAAATCGTATATCGCGCAAACGTACACGTCTATAAATTGCGGTTACCTAACTAGAAATCAAAATTTTCGAATGCAGTAAAAATAATGGAATCAATTATGATTTCGAAATTACAGGTGGTTACATAAGCAGCGGCGGTGGTTATGGCGGCTTCGGCGGCGGCAGCAGTGGATGGAAGCTCGGTGGCGGAGGTGGATACGGCGGCGGTGGTTACGGTGGCGGTGGCTATGGCGGCGGAGGTGGCGGATGGAAGTTCGGCGGTGGTGGATTTGGCGGCGGCAGCGGCGGCGGTTATGGTGGCGGTGGAAAGATCATCAAAGTGATTGCGGTTAGCGACGGTGGATACGGAGGTGGCGGCGGATACGGCGGCGGCGGCGGTGGATGGAAGTTGGGTGGCGGAGGTGGATACGGCGGCGGTGGATACGGCGGTGGATACAGCGGTGGATACAGCGGTGGATACAGCGGTGGTAGCAGCGGCTGGAAGCTCGGTGGTGGAAGTAGTGGATTCGGCGGAGGTGGATGGAAATTAGGCGGAGGTGGCGGATACGGTGGTGGTGGATACGGCGGCGGTGGAGGTAAGATGTGTTATCGTGTATTTTATTATTGTTCATTTTATTATTACGAGTTAATTAGATTGCTGGTAATACTCACGGTGCAAATTACAATCAATTCAGAAATCAATGAATTGAGAATATCGAGAAATGAAGTAAAAATCAATAGAAACCATAAATTAAAGTATAGGAACTCTATTCAATATATCAAACAAAAAAACATAATATAGAAGCTCCACAAACATTAAAAATCAAATACAAAAACATAGAGTGTAGGTAAAATTTTTTTTGCTAATAAAATATTTATAACCATGTTCGAATAACAAATAAATTACAATAAATAAATCATCTTTAACCTCGGAGACTAGTCAAGAGGATAAGTCACGTATAAATCAACTTTTCTCTCTAAAAATTTATCGGCATATAATTTCTTTCTTTATAATTATCGCGCGACTGTACACGCTCCGACAAGCATTAATGCACATCTTAAACTCATTTATCGTATGAATTAACTTCCAAGCTGGTGATAATGTTCACAACGAGCAATCGGCGCGAAATTAGCTCGTCGATTAATTCAATGGAGTCAAAAAGAATGTAAATAAAATTAATGTACAAAGTATGTCAATTCTGAAAAAGAAACATCAAAATTTTGATATTATTAAAATATCGTAGATCCCTTGTGCATGTAAATTATTGTAGATCTCTTGTCCCACACACGTGATGACATTTATATGGAGTTTGAGTTATTCAATCCATTAATATCGATAATCCTCGCAACTCATTTTAATTTATACAGTTAATAAATCATTCTTTACCTCGGAGAGAATTATCAAGAGGATAAGCCGCGTAAATTATACTTTCTTTTTTGAAAATTTATTATCATGCAATCCCATTCTTTTTTTTATTATTGCACCGTTATGCACAGTTTAGGTATTAACATATATTTTAAGTTTTTATTCACCGTACGAATTAAACTTCCAGGTTGGTGGTAATACTCACGGCAAACAGTAGTGCTCACGAACAAACGGAGCAAAATTCGCTCGCCGATCATCCGTGTATCTCGGCCCGTAAGCATCGATCGTCGTCGATAAGGAAATCAATTCGCGTTTGGCTTCTCTGCCCTTCCGATCTTCGTCAATCCGCCATCGGAAGGTTAAAATGCCAAAATCGGAACGTCGCGTAAGGCAGAAGCAAACTGCGGTTGTCCGGTACATCGCCGAATAAATCTGCAAGAGAAAACGTCACAGCGTCCAACGCATGTATGAGACATCTCATCTCTGTTACCCTTCATCGCCAAGCACAGGGATATCTCTTGGAAACAGCGAACGATATCGTCGCCTCGCTTCCGGCCATTCAAACATGCCGCCGTGTCGTCTAGGCGAAACGACTTCCTTCTCGACGGCACATTTTCCCCCCACGTCCCGCCGCTCGCCATCCCGTTTATCCCACACAATTCGGAAAATCGGCGAGCGTTCCATTTACGAGCGAATCGTACGCCCTGATATTTCAATCCCGCTTCCACGTATAAACATTCTCCCACTGACCTCACCCCTCCCGTTTACTTAACCCGCGCTCTCTTTCGAGGATCGAACGCGTCAGAGCAAGGCACCCTCACGAGCACGACATTTAGCCTATTACAAACACGTAGCGCAAAATCCCATGTAATTCCCCGGGTATTACCCCGGATGCCTCGAACACGAGCGAGCAGAAGTGACTGCGGGAAAATTACACCTGGTGCAAAAAAAAAAAGCGCAGTGATCCATTCCACGCACACTTTTCTCTTTTCCTTTATTGTCTGGACCATTCCACGATTCAGCGATCCACAATAAACGAGTCATATTGATAGAATAATTGTGTGTTTATCTTTGTTTTTTATTATTATGCTCCCCTCCGGGCTGGCGACTGTAACTTTTATTCCTGACGACATATCTCTATATAATGTATGCACGCATGACAAGCACGGGGAAAAATGGAATGCAGCCGTCGCTACCAATTTAGCGATTCTCCGTCGATTTATGTATCCACGGTGATCTTGCATAACGGGGGCGAAATTAAAACCGTAAACGCCCGGTGGACTCATCGAGAGAGATATTGCTGAACGTATGAATTTATTGTACTATCGCCACTCGAGCTATTACGATATTGCGCCAACGCATAAATATCGCGCTTATTTAGATGCGACTTTTTTCCACGCGACATAATGCTCGCGATCAAGAAAGACGATGCATTTTAAAAAATATCGGGGTGGATTTAAATTTAACACCCGTGTAGTGTCTACAGATATAATTCTCACTCTGTCGGTGTTAATATTAATACTAACATGATGTAGATTTAACACCATGGGAATGTTTCAAATCAATCATGATACTGATATAAACAATGTTATCAATCCACGCTGTTAATATTAATATCAAAATGATGAGAGTTATATAGACGCTGCAGAGGTTAAATCCACATCGATATTTTTTAGAGCATGTATAAAAATTTTATTAATCCATAACTTGCGACCGTTCGGCTTATAGCAGTATCTGCAAATGTTAAAAGCTTTCTTTGCGTTCAATTTAATATCACGTATTTATGGCAGCAGATAGATGCTTTTAGAGAGATAGATATTTACAGATACAGACATTTTTATTCTTTACATAATAGCAACTACTATATGTAAAAAATTTTATTGATCTTCAGATCTTTAACCAAGTCGAGATGTGTTTCTCCAGATATTCGGTCGTGTAATCTCCGCGGAATTTTATAATTTCATATACGTTTAATTTTGTATTATTACGTTAACGTATAACGGATAAAAAACGAATTTCTTTTATTCTCTGGAAAATAAATGAGATTAACCTAATTGAGAAGCTATGTAATGAGCATCAAGTTTAACGTGTATGGCACAACGTGGCAGGATAAGCATTAAGAGACACGTATACATACACAATAAGTTTTCCCTGTGGCAGTTGCGTGACTTTAACGTAATAGTCGTGCAAGTAATATCACGGTAATTACATATTCTACTCGCGCGTCATAAAAGCAAGGCGACTCGATTTGTTATTTAACGTTAATACTATACAGATTTCGTCATGCCTTTTTGCCGATCACCCTCAATCGGATGCATAATTATTGTCGTGTAATACCTACATTTTTACGCGCGTAATATAAAATTTATTTTTCTCTCTTCAGTTACCTTCACCGTGAGATTGTTATCCGATGTATGCGAGAGAAATTGTACCTCGTTGCCTTTTTAATGACTACGTCGCTTTATGTTTTAATGACGTCAGATGTTCGTATGCATCACCACCAATAATAAAACTGAACGTGTCTGCCTTTCAAAAGGATAGATTCATGTGCATAATAGTTCTCTTAAGTCCTTATTGAGAGAAAATAATCTGGGTCAAGAAGAGGCTGCATGAATGTTGACTTTGTGGATACTGTCTGAAAAATTGTAATTGATTTTTGATTTTGTTCTGTTTAAGGATACATTCATTTACGTATTATTTGTTTGAATTTTGTGTTAAAAGAAGAAACATTGTTATTCTCGAAGTAGTGTATGTATTAGTTATAGTTATAATAAATAGAGTTATAGTGGTGCGATTAAGACGGGCGTAGCCGTTACTGGTGAACTTAATATAATAACGATGTGCGAATTGACAACTGCAAATCTCGCTTAAGATCAACGGCCCGTATTTGCGCGACTAGTGCCTTTCGGTTGAACTTTAATGCATCCTCTATCCCCTATTATTCTCTATCCTCGTTGGAGCCATGGTAGCTCTCTCGAGTGGTCTCCGAATGGAGCGCGCTCGCCGCTAATTGGATCCTCCAGATCCGCGCTTTGATTAATTATGGTGAAGCGCGTTTGCATCTTCGGTAGAATAGCGAGTGAGATGCTTTTGCGCGAACGGCACTCATTGATATCGCTTTTTATTCGCGGCCCGCGACGCGATTCTGTTCTTTTGCGAATTTACGCCCAACGCACGTTTCCCTCGATCGCATTTGCGCGTCCGCTCACCGCGGAACAAAAAAGCGATCCTCGCTCCTCTCTCTCTCTCTCTCTCTCCTCGGAATCCCTCTCTTGTTCGTGTAATATTCGATTAAATATTCCATCTCGGTTTACACACAGTACCCTATTTTCCACGTTTTATGGCTACATGCATCAAATACGGCGGATTTTTATCTAAAAGCTTGAAGAGAAAGAAAACCCCGCTCATGTCAAATAAAAATTTGTACGATGCGTAAAGGAAGAGAGATAGAGATATTAGAAAGAGAATAGAATTTAATATAATCGTTATTTATTGGAGATAAACGTAAAGAGAAAGAGAGAGGGGGCGAGCTGGGGGAGAAAAAAGAATGAGGGAGAGAGACATCACGTATTATATAAAAGCAATATTTTAAATAAATGTATATATTAAAACATTTTTGATTATACATATTACTACACATTATCGTTTTTTTATCAATCAAATTTTTAATAAATGATATCTCATATAAGTAATCATGAGATAAGCGTAACTAATTTATAGACATCATGACATGTGCAACGTCATTAAAAAAAAAACCAAGAAAAAATAAATACGTGTATGATATCATCCCGACACGCGATAGTGATGCCGCTTTTCGATGTTTCCAATCACCTCGCATCCGGTCGATCATTACGACACTTAACAGTGGTTACATTAACGACATGTTCGACGCTCATTCGGCCGGTTGGCCAATTACATTTCGTGTGAAGGGTCTTCAACGTAGACGGCTCTGGGCTACATCCACGGGCCCATAAATTTATTGGACGTTGATGGCTGCGCGCGTAACAATCAGCTGACGTTACGCGGCAGGTAATAATCAAGCGTCGATGACGCCGGAAACAATATGTGCACCGATATCGCACCTTTCAAAATATAAACGACATACGGAAAATCCCTAACAAATTTTAAAGAAAGAGAAAAACTTTACTAGATATGAATTCTTTGAAAGAAATTTCTTAAGCTGTCCTTATATACAGAATCCAACTTTTATAGACGATATAAAAAAGACGCGGATAAAGTATGTAACTTTAATGTCAAAGATAAACTTTCACACTTTATATATATTGTGCGGTCTGTGGCTCTCTCTGTTTTCTTTCCAAGCGCACTGTCTACAAGCTCGCCGTGATACTTAAAGTGAAAGAAATACATGTTCATACTGCGAAGCAGGAGAACAGAAGAGTGAAGAGCGCAGAAGCGGCTCTGAAAGAAACGGTAAACTCGAACCTTTCGCATGCGGACGATACTTGGACGACAGTTTAGAACTCCATAATGTCATCGTTACCTCTTCCACACACTGTGCGCGCAGCAGCCGGTAGTCCTTGTACCAGCAGTGATACTGCCGACAATTCTATCCCAGTTAATGGCCATCGATGACGACGAGCAATTAAATTAGCGCGGATTACGAGACGCACGATGGCGGGCGCGAAATGAACGAGACGGAGAGAGAGAGAGAGAGAGAGAGAGACAGACCAGAGAGGAGGATAGAGTAGGTTGCGGGGAGGCGGATATAAATTTAGACTAGGCATGGCTAGAGCGGCACGATGTTTCAAACACATCTGTGCCGCGTGTGCGATCATCCCTCTCGGCCGTCTCTGTCTTTCCCTCTCTTGTTCCTCTTTCGCCGATCTCTCTTCCACGCAATTTCTCTTCCCTGTACCTCCCGCTTCCTCACCTTCCCCAATTCTCTCTCTCTCTCTCTCTCTCTCCTGTTTCATCCCCTGTCGCACACACATTCACTCCCAACAGGCGAACACTAGCCGTGCCAAACCCGAATCGACCTGACGCTCTCTGTAGCCGATTACAAATCTGACCAATTAGGCGCACACTGCGCCTGCCGGATCGGAATTGGCGAACGTTCCGAGGGCGCCAACGACGGGCGCGCGCGCTCTCTCTCTTCGAGAATCGCTACATCCCGGCCCCCAACAGCCTCCAACCATGCACTATCGCGCTCGTGTTCGCCACTCCTGCCCGCGCCGCCGCGCCGCCGCCGCGCCGCTCGGGGATTAATATTAAATGCAGCGTCTGCGAGACCTCGACTTTGATCAGGAAAACGCGGCTAATTAAGGTCCACCTGGTGCCCCTAATCCTTACTGCTGCACTGTTTTCGGGTTCGTTACGCCGCGCCTTTGCCTCTTGGGCAAATTTTCAATTACGTTCTTCGTACATTGTATTCTCTTTTGTGCATCTAGAATTAAATCAGGCTAATCGACAAAAAAGGTACGGTTTAAATACTTCAAAGGTAGATAATCGCATTTTCCAATTCTGTGTCAGATTAACATAAAATATAGTACGTATATTCAAAATTCTATAGTATCATTCGTCTCTATTTAAAGATTGCTTTATATTGAATACGCGGTTTCTCGAACAGCGCAGAACATTTCAAAAATAATTCTAGTTAAAAATAATTTGTTTTACATTTTGAGACAATATTTTGTACCACTATCTCGCTCAACGAATGAAGAATTTGGATTTTTCTTTTTCCTTTACTCTCACAAAACCGGATAAATATGAATATTTCTGTTTCCGCGCAATATCTGACGCACGCTATCTTGAACTGCTTTTCAATATTTTGTTGAGGGCAAACGGGTCGTTGATCGCACTGTTTTCCCACGTCCAAAAATTCGAATACACGAGCAACACACAGTCCGGCTATAATTTATTATTCGATGCTGGACCCCTAGCGCGGTCTCGATCCATACAGGCTGCTCATGTACATGCATACTAGTTTTGCAAAAAATAGAGAGCGAGAGAAAGAGAGGAAGAGGGAGAAACGAGGTGAAAAGACCGAGCGAGATGAACGGAGCGCGAAATGAAAAAGAGGAACAGGGACAAAGGACG